TTTTCTAACGTAAAACCTTTTCACATTAAATATACTACGTTTCATAATTTCAATGCTACTCGATAAAAAATGTTAACAAAATGTTTGACTTTCATACACTCGAAGTACTATATCCGTTCTTCAAATGTGAACCTTTTTTTTCTTCAATGAGGGGAGACCTGTGTTGAGGGTACAGGAGTTGAAAACATTTTTTTATCTATGATACTCGAGCTCCCATTACAAGCTAGTTACACAATGGGTATCAACCTGTTGAAAGAAGGGGAGTTTTTTTCTCCTATCGTTCCCATTAGGTACGCCTTTATATGGGGGAAGGGTGTATGAAGCCCTGCGATTTCGTCGACTTTTTATACCTGATTAAAAAAAGGGCTACTTAATTCGAGGGTGAGACAGGTGAATATATATATCTACCTGTGAGATTCATCAATCAAATCTTTGCTATCATTTCGATACACGTAACCGGATGTAATTAAATGTGAGCATTGAATTAGAATTTTGTTTTAATTAATAAAGAAAATTACAAAAAATAAAAGATAGGAATTTGTCGTTTAAACCTTTATCGTTAATTTAATTAACGTATAGGAATACTTGCATAACAAATTAGATTCTACTTTATAGATCAGTTGTCAAAACAGATAAAATTTTATAGTTTAATAAGATAAAAAAAGAAAAATACAATATTGCAATGCAATGCATTTGAAAATAATAAAGTTTTCAAAATGTCTGACTACAGTCGACCATTAGTATCGAAAGGGTTAATATTTTCAACATTTTTGTCAAATTCTTACTTTGCCCAACAGTGTTTCGGCGACATCAATAAAACTTGAAAAAAAAAAGGGTTCACGTAGATTCTTCATTTTTTATCCCGTGATACAGAACGAAATGTTTTTTTTATTGTTGACTTAAGTAAACAAACAAAAATGAAGAAAAGACATTTAGGGTGGACAATATTCTTCTTTTTTATCTTTTCAAGAAAAATCTTAAGTAAAATCAGTAGTCACGGATAAAATCGTTATAAAACGTGAAAACTTAAAAAAACATCTTGTATAAAAAGCAAAAGTAAAGAAATATTTTTTCGATACCAATAGTTCCTAAATGCTTTCTTTCGGTAAATAAATTCCCAAAGGAAAGGGTTAAGAATTTTTTTTCAACACTAATTTCTCAAAAACGAAAGCGTTCTTTCTTTCTTTTTTTGTCTATTCCATTTTTTTATCCAACCTTTCGTTAACTCGCAAAAGAAAAAAACACGACGAATTTATTATAACCCTTTCGTTCATTCTTCCGATTATTGCTTTGCTCCGTTTAAGGACTTGGACCGTTATTTTTATTTAAAAAACACATGAATTATTACCCCTTTGAGATAAAAAATTCGTTCCAAAGGCCATTGAATTTATTTCTTTCTGAAATATATTTTTTTTTACATTTAGGTCACCTATTATGTTTTAAGAATGATAATAAAAAAAAAAAAAAACTAAACAATAGGGAAAAAGTACTTTTTATGTATTTTTTATCAAACTCTTTTTGCTTTTTATTTGTATAAATTGATGCAATAAAAAATGTTGGAAACTCAGAAAAAAATCAACCATCGTAAAATCACACGAAGAACCACATGTTGCCTGTTGCAATCGTAAACCAGTTTCCCTTCCCCTCACCCTCACTCCTAATTTTATCTCACATCAATACGAGTATCGCGATACTATAAAAGAAACTGTTTAACCTTTTGACTAGGAAGAACCCTTATTATAAGGCTCAAGTTTCCAGTTCAAAAGGTGTCCATTTTATAAACGTACAACGGAAGTCGTCTTCTCGATGGGAACAACACTTATAGACGACTGTAATATATGTCGTAACAAAAGGGTTAAATTTTTTCGCATTACGAAATAATAAAACTAATATAATAATTAATAATAAGATATTTTTTCACTGTTATTAATAATCATCCAATATGAACATTGTAGTACATGAGCCTAATTCCGTCGAGACAAATTAATAGACTTAAAAACAATATTGTTATTTCTATTTGAATTATTTTAAAATTCATTTCTACATTTTACAGTCAACTTGTATCATCATTTTTAATAAACCTTCAGGTATATCAATAATTTATAAATATGCTACACATAATTATTAAATAATCTTAATTATATTTTCATAGCAAAAACTTTAGTCGCCATTATCAGGGTTTCGCAGTTCGAAGGATTAAATTGGGAAAGGAATTAAGATAATAAAATATTTGTTCACCCCCCGTTTGTATGTAAGTAAACAACGTATTTATTATTATCGTTATTTCTAAGGCACTTGTTACCAATATAAAAACGTACGCGACAAATGACCGCCAATGAGCATATTTAAATACTGATATTACACTTCTAATTGCTTCTTGTAAACATAATCTTAGATATATATATATATATACGTATGTATGTATGTATACATATATAGACATATGTGCATTAAAGCGAACATATATATATACATATATATACGTACATTATGGATGCGCATTCACCATCTAAGAAAAAAAGGAGAAAGAGAAAGAGAGAGAGAAAGAAAGAAAGAAAAAGAGAAAAATCTCTTAATGTGTACCGTGTCTTATCACCTTACATAATTTCTTGTCCAACACATTTTTTTTTTGTTTCTTTAACTTCGCGAACATTAATCCGTTATTACGGATGTTCATTTCTAACGTAAATAAAGTTCAGTTTAGATTAAAAGCAAGATACACTATCGTAAAATTAAGATTATCGTTAATTCATAATTAAAATAATACATCATAAAACCAGGCTCGAATGAACGTCGACCCGTGTGCGAACGGAAAGAATGAACAACACGTAACACTCTCTTCTTTATTATTCATTCTTTTAATGAAGATATTACGATTATTTATCTATCAAAACTTCGTTCGACGCATGATTACAATTATTGACGATTAAAAAGATATAAATTGTTATTATAATAGATTAAAAAAAAAAAAAAAAACATTTTTTTCTATTCCCCTAGTCGCTCGCGGATCGCCGTTTAACATTGCCTACGATCTATCTCGACGAACTTATTTTAGCGCTTACCTGCAAAGTTATTGCATATTCGACTTAAAACGATGAGAAAAGGAAAAAAAAAAGAAATATATGTAATTAGAATTATCAATAGGCGTATTCAAGAGAAATACACATATATATATAATTAACTTATCGCCGCAATAACTAGCAACGAGATGATGACTATCTATCAGCCATTATCCCGTAATTACAACAGGATTTCGAAAAAGATATTAGATAACAGTTCATACTTATTAATAGTAAAAAATATTTATCGACTCGATATTTGTACCTCACCGTTGATTGTTATCTCTCTAACGAATATATATATATATTTCTTTTAATTTTTGTTAACGATTTCAACGAAAGTGTGTATATATATATATATAAAAAGTTATACGCATATGTATATATATGCAGTATATGTTAGTTTAAAAATTTGTAAATCAATAAAAAAAAACAAGAAATTCATTTTTAATTAGGCGAATATAACATGAGGTACTAAAATACGAATCGTTATATTTATCGTTCGTCTCTATTCTCTTTTTTAGAGTAAGTGGATTCTTCTTGATAATATATAATAATTAAAAAATAAAGAAAAATTATAGACAAAAAGTAAGAATAAAAAAGATGAAAAGAAGTTTTTTTTTTCTAAATAAAATAAAATCAAATAAAAAAGTAATACATTCTCGCCGTGAATAACGGCAGTAGTTTTCTTTTTTTTTTTTTTTTTTTTTTTTTTTTTTTTTTTTTTTTTTTTT